GACAATGCGTACTTTAAAAACTCGAATTAGGGAGCATATTTATAATATAAAACGGAAATTTGCTAACCATAGTGTATCAAAACACTTTGCAGAAGCCCATAATGGAGACCCGAAAGGTATAGAATTGGTAGGGATAGATCTGGTTAAAACCCACTGGAGGGGTGGAGACAAAGAATACACCTTGGGATTCACAGAGATAAAGGGGATGTTCGAACTAGACACTATGATCCCAAATGGTTTGAATGTGGATTTCAAGATTAACAAATATATTTAATTAAAATCTTTTTAATGATATCATTTTATAATTTTTTTAAATTTTGTGATATATTTGGTTTTATGATAATATTGACTGATTTTGTCCTTTTTATATTAACTCCTTTTTTTATTGACTATTTTTTCTTTATCATTTTTATATATTTTTTCTTATTTATCTTTATCCAGTTTTTAATTGGATTTTTATATTTCCTCCTCAACACTTATTTTATTATATATATAATTTCTGTTTTAATCATTTCGAATATTTTATTGTCTATTATTCCTCTTTTTAACCCTTTTAAAATTGTCTTCTTTCTGGCCACTGGTCGACAGAGAATTTTTTGGGATCAATAGGGTCATGTATATATTAAGACCTATTGTTAAAATAATTACCCTTTCTCAAATTGTTTATGCTTTAAGTTCATTTTTATAGATTTTCTAATGTATGCTGCTAAGAATGCCTATGTTTTTACTATGACGGTTCCCACACGTCATTTTGGCCGAAACCGGAAGTGACGCAAGGACGTGATGACGCAGGGCACGTCCTGACGTCAGAACCCGGAAGTACAATGCGGCCATTGCGGCGAAATTTGGCGCCAAAATCGGACTTAAAAGGAACCTCACACCTGGACCAACTACAGCACCTCTGATGAAGGCTCTTATGCCGAAACGCGTTAGGAGATTTCCAAGGAGATCCTGGGACTATCTATATATATTGTTTATGGGAATATGTTATGCTATGGAATTTTTTTTTTATTCTTATATTAAAGTGTATGTTTATCTTGAACCTGCGTTCCTGATTTCCATATTTATTGTGGGAAGAGCCCAGCAAAAACCTGTTCCAGTCCTAAGGATTACTCCTGTTCAAGGCGTGCAGCTTGAGCCAGCTTCTAATTGGCTCTTCGTATGTGAGTGCAATCTACCCATACGCTGTTTATTTTACTTTGGCGTTATTACCCTATGTTATTTTCTGTTTCTTTTTCAGATTTTAACTTAATTGTGGGTAATATTACTTTGTATTGAGTGCTCTCACCATTCTCTATTTATTTATCACTTGTGTTTATTTTAGTGGTTATTGTGGCCCACTAAGGTGATAGTAGCGCCAGTATTTGTTCATAACTATTTTACACCGTGTGTTTTGTATTTTATCATCTGAATATGTGTATCAAACATGAAATGTGTTAAGTGACTGCCAGATTTAGTTGTTGTTTTGCTTTTCATTTAAGATGGGGGTTTCATTCTGAACAAAACTATTTTTCTTTTTTTTTTCTTTATAACGAGCAGTATTTATTTTACTATGGTACTTTAAAAGAATGGTATTGTGGGTTTATATTAACCAGTTTAACCTTTTATAATAATCTGTTTTTAGACTATCCAATCTTTAATTTATGGGTTCCATGCCCTCTAATTGTCAATGAGTTCCATGACATTTTATTTTTTTATGTACATTATCCTTTAGGTGGAAACAGTCTGTTTTCTTTGTTCTCTAAAGTATAATTTGTGTCATAATTCTCTAACAGGGTGAAAAAAATATCAGTTCTTTATTTTCCAAAGCCCTTAGAATACACACGCCAGTGTATATACATGGCCAATTAGCATAATACTTCCACTGGAGCAAATACGTTACTGTCATGTGTGTCTATAAATATACATATGCTGTGTGACTAAAATGCACATATATGAATTCATACAAACCCCTAAGTTAAAAATGAACACACGAATGTCAGGTGTGTGAGTCTCACTTTCTTTTTTTTTGCGAGGGAGGACGAGGCTGCAGATGGAGGATCCTCACTCCCATCAGCCTCAGGCACAACACTGGACCACAGGGAAGCCACTCTCCAACAAATGGTAGGAGGGTGGGTTTAAAAATTTAAATTTTACATGTGTGTCAGTATGTCTGTCTGTCTCTGTGTCAGTATAGCTGTGTGTGTGTTAGTAATATGTCTGTCAGTCTGTGTGTCAGTATATTTCTATGTGTGTCAGTTTGTCTGTCTGTGTGTCAGTATGTCTCTGTGTGTGTCAGTATGTCTCTCTGTCTGTGTGTCAGTATATCTGTGTGTGTGTCAGTATGTCTGTCTGTGTGTCAGAATATCTGTGTGTGTCAGTATGTCTGTCAGTGCATGTGCATGCATGTGTCAGTATATATGTCTGTGTGTGCCAGTATGTATGTGTGTGTGTGTGTCAGTATATAAGTCTGTGTGTGTCAATGTTTGTATCTGTGAGTGTCAGTGCATGTGCCTGTGTGTGTCGGTATTTCTCTCAGTGTATGTGGGTGTCAGTGTGTCTGTCAGTGTGTGTGTGTGTCAGTATCTCTGTCAGTGTACGTGCCTATGTGTGTGGGTGTCAGTATGTATGTCTGTGTATGTTTGTTAGTATGTTGATCAGTGTATGTGTCCGTGTGTTTGTGTCAGTATGTATGTAGATGTGCCTGTGTGTGTGTCTGTCAGTATGTCTGTCAGTACGTCTACCGGTGTATGTGTCTGTGTGTTTGTCAGTATATGTATCTGTGTGTGTCAGTATCTCTGTCAGTGTATGTGCCTGTTTATCTGTATGTAGTCAGTGTATGTATCTGTGTATCTGCTTGTGTGATAGAGTGTGTACCTGTGCATCTGGGCACCAACTTTAAATACAAATACACCCCTCCATTCAAACTTCAACACTACATACAAACACACCTCTGTGTTGAACACCAGAATTATATATAAACACACCCTACATTCAAAAACAAACACCCACATAAATGCACACATGCATTCAAACTCCAGTACCACATACAAACACATTCACACAAACATACTTCATACAAGCACATGCTTATATTCAAACACACAAACATGGCTACAACCCTGCAAGCATGGGAAATTGGTAGAGCCCCAGCTGTAAAAGCATTGTCGGAGTTGCACGACAAATGGGGTTCTACTTTTAGTCCAACCTTGCAATTGGGGGTCCCAATAAAATTATTTCTACTTTAGTACCGCCACTGCGTTGGCATGGATGCCGTTATTGCATGCCAGGGAGTGGGGGGCGAGGACGGCAGCGTTTTCCCAGGGTCCAATCGTTATTAAAGACGGCCCTGGCAGGAACCTACAGTGCCTCTCTCCCTCCCACCCTCCATCAGGGGCGTTTTAGCCGCGAGGCAAAAAAGGCATTTGCCTTGGGCGGCATTTTCCAGGAGGCGGTAAAAAAAGCCGCCCCCCCAAATGCCCAGGGCAAATGCCTTGTTAGCCTTGCGGCTAACAGACATGCCGAGCGGGCGGGCAGCGCTGGGCGGGCGGCTGGAGAGGGAGCTCTTCCACTGAGCGGTCTGCTCAGATCCCTCACGCGCCGCAGAGTGAGGCGGGGAGCCGGGTTGATTGATGACGTCATATTCCGGCTCCCAGCCTCACTCTGCTGCGCGCGAGGGAACTGAGCAGACCGCTCAGAGGAAGAGCTCCCTCACCAGCCACCCGCCCAGTGCCCAGCAGCCACTGGACCCCCAGGGAGAAATAAACTCCCCCCCCCCAGCATTCCCAAAGGTAAGGAGGCTGGAGGGGGGGGTTAAAAAAAATAAATGTGTTAATGTGAGTGTGTCTGTTAGTGTGTGTGTGTGTGAGTGTGTCTGTTAGTGTGTTTGTGAGTGTGTCTGTGAGTGAGTGCGTGTGTGTGAGTGTGTGTGAGTGTGTCTGTCAGTGAGTGTGTCTGTTAGTGTGTGTGTCTGATAGTGTGTGTGTCTGTTAGTGTGTGTGTCTGTGAGTGTGTGTGTCTGTTAGTGTGTGTGTGTGTCTGTTAGTGAGTGTGTCTGTCTGTTAGTGAGTGTGTGTGTGTCTGACTGTTAGTGTGAGTGTGTTTGCCTGTGAGTGTGTGTGTCAGTGAGTGTTTGTGTCTGCTAGTGAGTGTGTGTGTCTGCTAGTGAGTGAGTGTGTCTGCTAGTGAGTGTGTGTGTTTGTGTGTGTGTGTGTGTGTGTGTGTGTGACTGTGTGTATGTTTGCCTGTGAGTGTGTGTGTGTGTCAGTGAGTGTGTGTGTGTCTGCTAGTGTGTGTCTGCTAGGGAGACTATGGGAAAACAGAAGAAAGGAAACTCAGGGTAATGAGTCTTTGCAAGACTCAGAATTTTTGCAAAATAAATCAAAATGGCAAATCTGGGGCAAAAATAGCCATGTTTTGACTACAACAGAGCAAGATAATGTTTCCACATTAGTTCTTTTGCATTCATTTTCTCTTTCAGATTTATTATTTATTCAGAGTTCAGCAAATAGGCCAGTCAATGTCCATGCCATTGGCAGTCTCTTTAATTGAAATAATTTCAAGGACAAGGAGAGTGTCATGACCGACAAGTGGTTTGGGTTCCACTTTTGTCCCTTGGACAAGTAAAAATTCCACACCCCTGTGTAGTCAAATTGTCCTTAAAACATATCAGTTTTTTTTCGTCCTTGATCTCTTGATGACATCACTGAAAAAGTGAGTGAGAATCTGTTCCCCTATTCAATGACATCAATTTAAGGCTGCTCTCAAGCTCAGTCAGAAGGGTCGATGTAGTTAACCTGTTCTATATGTTTTCCATTCTAGGTCAAAGAGCTATAGTCAATGATTCTTACAAATCTGGAAATGTGTAGCCTGCCTATTAATATTTGGATAATGTAAAAAACTCCCCACAGGAAGAAGCACCGTGCATGTTTTGTGATTGACAAAAAGCAAGCATGCCAATAGTGTAGTAGTAGAAGTCTTTAGATTAACAACTGACACACTATCAATTAACCACAAAGCAAAAGAGATTCAAGGGTGTTACATCTGCGATAAGTGTAACTAAGGATTCATTGCAGAACATGGGAAATGATGCAGAGCAAAATACTTACATTGTAAGTACATAATTCCTTTTTCTAAGTGAAACAAATCTTTTTTTTACTGTTTTAGTTTGAAAAAAAAACTTGCAATTATTTTACATAACTTTACTGCTAATGTGCTATTGTGTATGTGTGTGTGTGTGTGCATTTGCATGTATAGCTTAATACATATTTCTCTCAGCACTCTAAATAGAACATTCAAAGTAAATAGTATAATCAGTCACATATATAAAGAGGCATAATGTGTGCATTTTTCTTCCAGAGTTTAATACATAGAAACATGCCTGAAGTTTTTTTTAAATAAAAAAACACTTTTTAAAACAATAATGAACAGATTTAGCATAAGCCATTATACCAATAGCCTGTTTCGCAAGGTTAGAGGTATAAACACGAATGTTCACTGACTAGTTGATACTTATAAAACAAATCTACACTGACATATTCTGGAATCGGGGGTTACCTCTGGGCACTATATTGGGAGGGGTACTTGCACACAATGCGTGATGTCATTTGATATTATGTTCATGTGTTGTGGCCAATGTGGTAGTGAGGAGTGTCACATGAATGTTAGAGCTTCATGGTGAGTGCTTAGGGGCAGCGTGCGCAAGAAGGAAGCCCCCCTCTCCCCCTCTAATCCTGGATCTATGCCTTCCCAGGTATAAGGTCCTTTTTTGATCATGTTCCTCTGATCTGGTTTTATTACTGGTATGTCATAAATCACATTTTGGCTGAAATTAATATGTTCTAGTTCATGTGGCATAATAAATTAGAGCATTGCCCCACAAGTTGATTTCTATGCCATTTTCCTAACCACTGAATGATAGCTCATTTACTAGTTTGTGGGGTTCTTGAAAGATGATTTTTGACAACCCCAGAACTAGTCTGTTTATAACAGTTTGTTATAAAACTCACGTCATAAAATCCACGAGTGTTTGTTTGTAAATATTCAAGTTTATTCCCTATGTGCCAAATTGCAGTGAGTTGAAAACCAAATTTCAAATGAAGGCAATAACATTTTAGCCTAAATATTCCAGACTCACTATAAATGTATTTAAAAATAAAAATAATCTACATTTAGGGCAAAGTGATGTCTCTCTTTTACTGTGCAATTTACTTTTCCTATGACTACTTCGATTTTAAGATCCACAATTTGCACACTTTGCCAGGGTAAGAATATCCTGTCATGTCCCAAAATATCTGATTCATGCAGCAAAGGGAAGTGTGTTTTGTACTCCTCTCTGATGCTCATTTTACACCAGTGGCTGACTGGCATATTTCGGCGAAAAAGGGTAAGTACAACCCAAAGGCCAATTATACAGCAACTTGGCCCCACATTTTAAAAAGAAATTATGATCTGTCTGTGGTATATTACCAAACTCTATAAATTATGCACGCACACACATATAAACTCTGGTCTGTCTACTTTAATAAATATTTATTCAGAGACAAAACAACAGCAACATACAAATAATGACACACAATCTAACTAACTATACCAACAACAACAATATAACTAAGTACTCACCATTATAAAAATTAGCCCATGTCTGCTCACGTGTCTGCTCAGTAGCACAGCCAAGAAGGAGCATGGAGGAATGGAGATAGGGGCAAGTGGTTATCTCTATCCTGACTTGTCAGCATATCTTCTTGTGTCAAATGCTTAACTTGTTTTGTCTAATAATATCTATTTGGTTGTGGTGTCTTACTTTTAGACATTTACTCCACACATGAAAAAGAGTTGAACACAAAACCATATGTAATTTAATGATTTACTGAGGAATACATGCAATAATCACAAAATGTACACAGTTTTAACTGAAAATTATTATACATGAATGTGGGTGGGAAAGATGTAAGGGTGAAAAATTTATTTCCAATTGAACCCCCTGCTGATAGCAAAATAGAGCAACTAGCATACATTGTCACTTTATTATTCATCCCATCTTGACTCAAAGCAATCTAATTTCCCTATATTCTTCATGCCACCTTAAGGCTATTAATGAAAAAAGATACACAAAAAACTTATCTCCCAGTAAGAAAGGCATACATGAGCTTGGTCACATGACCCCTGGTCACCATATTAGTTTGATTGCAGAATGTCACCAAACAGTCCACTGGCCAAGCCACCTCTCTCTTGCAGGGGAGTGCAGAGATCCAGCCGTGAATGAGCAGTGGGACAGTATCTGAGTATCTAAGCAGGGTAGTATCGGTGTGGCTGTGAGTAAGGAAAAGCAGCGGTGTGTCGTAAGGGCCAGATTTGTCCTCCTTGCTGCCCCAAGGCCAGTATCCTCAAGGCATCCCTGATATATACATACAGTCACAGGAAAAATAAAGTACACGCTCTTTGACTTCTATGGTTTTACTCATCAGGACATTATAATAACATAATAACAATCATATGTTTCTTAGCAGGTCTTAAAATTAGGTAAATACAACCTCAGATGAACAACAACACTTGACATATTACACCGTGTCATAATTTACTTAATACAAATAAAACAAAAATGGAGAAGTCATGTGTGAAAGTACACTTTATGATTCAATAGCTTGTATAAACACCTTGAGAAGCAATAACGTGAAGTGATCTTTTTCTGTATGACTTTATCACTCTCACACATCGTTGTTGAGGAGTTTTGGCCCATTCTTCTTTACAATGTTGCTTCAGTTCATGGATGTTTACTGGCATCTGTTTATGCCACAGCATTACAATCGGGTTGAGGTCTTGACTTTGACTGGGCTATTGCAACATCTTGATTTCGACAAAGCTTTAGCTGTCGGACAGATGGCCTCACATCTGACTCGAGAATACTTTGGTATTCAGAGGAATTAAGTGTTGATTAAATGACTGCAAGATTCCCAGGTCATGTGGCTGCAAAACAAGCCTGAATCATCACTTTTCCACCTCCGTGGATAGTTGGTATGAGGTATTTGTGCTGATTTTACCTGCTAGGTTTAACTCCTCCTCTATTGGCTGTCTACCATACAGCCACTACAGGAACTTCCGGGTCTTTAGCGACTTTTGGTTGCCTAAATGACACTGGACATCCTAAGGCTATGCATGAGGACTTCAAGGATCACTGTAATCCCCATAGAAAAGCATTGAATAATGCCTTCCTATGGGGAAATTCTAATGCGAGCGTGGCCATTGCCGAGCATGCACATTAGGTCTCCTCCGCCGGTTGACTGGTGAGGAGATCAAAGATGGAGGGAAGGACCTGGGAGGCTCTGTGTTTCCGCCCGCGAGAAGACTGGTCCGAGCATTGCCGCGCATTACCATGGCAGGAGGACAGTTGAGCCAGCTTGCAGCTGAAGGAGCTGCAGGCTAAAGTGAACATGCAACCACTGGACCACCAGGGCTTGCAGTATTATGTCCCCTGTCCCTGATAAAAGGTAAGAAGATAGATCTTTAAGATAGATTTACACATTTCACCTACTTACACACAGTATAGACTATGCACCCTATGCCCCTTTCACACACACTGTCTCTTTACATAGATACACACACACACTGCCCTTTCACACTACGCCCTTCACACACAAACATCACCATTCACACACACACACTGCACCCTTCACACACACACACACAGCACATCACAGACACACATAGAAAAAAGTAGAATAGAAAATGTAAACAAAAATAGATAAATTTAAGTACATATTATGTTTTTAAAAACCCTTGTTTCAAAAATAAAATTGCATGTGTGCTATACAATTAGTTGGTGCGGCACTGGTGGGGGTAAGGAAATGTTACCATCAACAAGGATACAAAATTGGGCGGTAGGTATTAAAAGGTTGACTTCCCCTGGTTTAAACGATTGTCACCTGAGCATTTCTGCTAAAATGTTTTTTGTTTTTTTTTACAGAATGTACATATCACAGATATACCTGAATTCAGCAGCTCTTCAGACTATCAATATTCTCCAGGAGACTTCGGCACATGCAACTTAGAAGAAAGCAAGATTTTTGACCGAAATTTCTTGCCTGCATTCTACAGCCTTCTGTTCCTGATTGGAATAATTGGGAATGTCCTGGTAATGTTTGTTCTGCTGCGGAATAAGCATAAGCTCCAAAGTACTGACATTTTTATTCTGAACCTTGCCATTGCTGACATACTCCTTGTTTTAACTCTTCCATTTTGGGCAAGCCAGGCATTTAGTGGCTGGCTATTTGGTGGTATTCTTTGCAAGATTGTAGGCTCCCTGTTCAAAGTCAACTTTTACGCTGGAATTTTCCTCCTTGCTTGCATCAGCTGGGATCGATATCTTTCAGTGGTCTATGCAGTTCAGATGTTTAAGAAACACAGATCCAATCTGATATACTGGATTTGCCTGGCTGTATGGTGTGCTTGCTTAGCACTTTGCATCCCTGATGTAATGTATTTCAAAGCTGAATATGACTATCGTACCAATTTAACAATATGTCAGCCCAGCTTTCCTGCCTCAACTTCAAAAATGTGGAAGACCATTATGACTTCTATATTTCATATTCTAGGCTTTTTGCTACCTTTCTGTGGCATGGTATATTGTTATGCACACATCTTTCACACCTTGTTAAAATCTAATGGTTTTAAGAAACAAAGAGCATTACAACTGGTGATAGCTGTTGTGGTGGCTTTCTTCTTGTGTTGGACTCCATACAACATAGTAGCTTTTGTGGATACTCTGGTCATGTTGGAAGTTGTTCCTGTAAGCTGCAATCTTACACATAACATTGATACTGCTCTATCAGTTACATCAGGTCTGTGTTACTTTCACTGTTGTCTGAATCCTTTCCTCTATGTCTTCATTGGCGCCAAATTTAAGAATTATTTCATAGAGCTATTACGTCAAGCAAGCTGTATGTGTCCCAACTTCATGGAACAATATGTCAAAAGAAAGTATTCAGCTCGATCTTCAACCTGGTCAGAATCTGGAGACACTTCGTTGTCCAGAATCTAAGTATTTATTTCTCCTGTCAAACGAAAGACTGATGGACCATGTTATATGAATGTATTTGGAAGCAATCAATGTGTTTATGATGTCTTCTTGGTCTAATGCCATAAATTCACATAAGAGTTACAAACCATAGAAGCTTAAACATTAGATGATATATTTGAGACTTTGTGCTTCTTTTTCAAAATAGAAGTATAATTAGGTAAGAGTAAAGTGTGTGCACATTATCAACCATCCATGTTATTTATTAAACTGTATATGAGCTAAGAATGTAGAAAAATACTGTAAACTTAGAACAAAATATAAAGCTAAGTTTTATGTGATTTCATACATTTAGTGAAATGTAGAAAAATATTTGTGTCTCTTAAAGTTAACCACTTTGAAAACGATCACCATTGTTTCATCATCTCACTATTAATATACCTCTATAAAAAGCCACATAGTGTGGTGTTATTTAGCACTTAAATATCACATTCTAGGGTTTACCAACCGTCAACCTCACCCTATAAATTAATTACAACCAAATAATTTGTATTTCCTTTGGGTGATTAGGCATAATGCGATCTGTAGTTCTGCAGAATTTTACATTTGTTAGAGGACCATGCCATGTCAACTCAAATTTCAATATGTTGTAGCTTTTATTATTATATCATACTTAACAAAGTCATAATTGCCATAGTCCTGTAAATCGTGGCTCAGAGTTCTATGTTATATGCTACTTTCCTACTATCCTACTATACTACTGGAAAACTCTCCTTGTAATGTTAACAAAGTAATATGTGCTGGACAGAAAACCCCTTGGCTATCCTGCCATCCAATGACTCATTCTCATCTTACAGCACCTTGCAATTCCTAGAATGTGGGTGCAAGCTACAGTTTTCAAGTTACCTTGTGCAGTTATCTGGTGGCTCTGTAATATTTAGCTAGCACAATGCATTGTGCATACATTATTTAAAAGTTTAGTCACATGGAAGTTAGCAGACTAACACATCATTACATTTTCTGTTCCAACTGACTTAATAGGAGTAGAGCAGAACTTAGTTGAGATCTCTCTCCTGTAACTTTGTTAGTCTGTTTATGAACTATGCATGCTTTAGGGTACTAAAAGAGTACTAAATAAATGGCATCTGTATTGGATGACCACTGGGGGTTGGGTTGACCGACCAATTTCTATACGCTTTAAACTGACAATTACATAGTACATCCCCTTATTTAACCTCATCTCTATCAGCTGCAGCTGGGCAATCACTGATACAACAACTGCTGCTTTTATGTAGTTTATGTAGTTGTGTGGGTTCCATTCAACAAACCACAGGATTGAAATCCCACTAACCAACAACTAGTGGTAATTAATAGTCCTACTACCAAACATATTTAGGTTTGTTATTCACTTTTCCACCAATTGATTGCATCAACGAATAAAGAACAAGGGTCATTGTCCTTCCTCTAATCATTGCGTTTTAGGCTTCTGTCGTAACAAACCATTAGAAAGGCCAATGGCTGTCTTGTGAATACTCACGAAACACAGCAGATTCCATAGAAAAGGTTGGATGATGAAGCAGTTCAAAGACACAAATATTGTTAAGACTTAATAGCTAGAGCAAATGTGTCTTTGTAAAGTATAATTTATGAACTTATAACAAGAAAGTCAGCCGTGAATTTTCATGACTATTCCTCTTCAACAATTGAAGGTCATTGCAGAGGCAACTGTCTGATACTAAACGGGTAAAATCCCAGTGATCGCAATTTGAGCGTTTGATGCGTAATTACTGAATAATAATGCAAGATTTCAAGATGTTTAGAAGTGCTCTTTCCCTGTCATGTAATGACTCATGCAGAATCATCTGCATATGTAGCTAAGATATTAATATTTAATAAGACATCATAACAATATAATAAAAAGTATATAAAAAATTATGTAAAAATGTATAAGAAAAAATGTAGATATTGATTATACCATAGGATAGTCTGCATGTAAAGGTCTATGTGTAAATAGAAAAGGATACAAATTATAACTGTATATATTTATAATGCTGGAGTGTTAAAAATGTCCATTTAGATTGTTGGGCACCAGCACAGTCTCCCAAAATGGTTTAACTTATCTCTAACACAGCCACAAAACAGACTATAGCTGTAGCTACTGCTTCCAGAAGATCATCTAGCACAGATAATGTTCCCTCAGCTAATTCATTGCTTATCAAAGAGAAGCACTGAGACCAAAGGTTCATGTACAGTAAGCATATTGCTGCACCTGCAGTGCTTGTCATAGAGAGGCACTGAAGTAAATGCTTCTAAATGAGAAGCCCCAATCCTGCTTCTGTCTGGGCTGCAGCTGGTTATCAATTAGAGACCTGGTAGGGTGTAACCCAGTCACTTTACAAAAAGTACAGATTTTTCTTGAAATTGACACTTTTATAAAGTGGGAAAGAGGGGACACTTTGTCACTGCCTAAAACACTTTGTTCTACAGCAAGACAAACTGCTTTAGAGTGTTTAGGGTAATCCTTTGAAAAATATAAAATATATATATATATATATATATAGACACAATGCAAATTTACCATTATGTAATGTAGCAATGAATTTTAATATAGAGGAAATTGGTCATTCAACAAAAATGCTAACAATTTTAAACCTTTATTTTAACTATATATGTATACATTGTGCTTTTACTTCTGCATTTACAAAAAAAACTAAAACTTAAATTTATGCTAATTAGTTATGTCCCGAACGGTTCGCCGAACGGTTCGCCGCGGACTCATCATTGGGTAAACTTTGACCCTGTACCTCACAGTCAGCAGACGCATTCCAGCCAATCAGCAGCAGACCCTCCCTCCCAGACCCTCCCACCTCCTGGGTACAGGGTCAAAGTTTACTCAATGATGAGTCCGTGGCGAACCGTTCGGCGAACCTTTGGGGACATCACTAATGCTAATGTTAAGACATTTGATACATACACAATATGTATAATAAAATGTTCCCTTAAAAATGAATTTTGATGCTTTCAAAACATATTTTGAAAACAATTAATCTCGATCTTAAAATGTTAAGCAGAAAAGTTTGAATTTGGTGTATTTTCAAACTCCAATTAGAGACATATCATTGATTTTTATTGTACTAAAGTGTTAACAGACTGTTGTAAATATTTCTTGTATGGTATAAATTATGATAATAAATTACAAATCATGATAGGCTAATCTGTGTTGCTGTTATTAATATTGAATAAATGAATATTAAAACAATTGAAAAAATGTATTATAAATATTATATAGTGTTACCCTATGTCTATAATAAAAGTAAAGTATTCATCCTGCTATAAAAGGTCCCAGATTCTATCTATTTCTACTTTTTTCTTGCCTTTGTAGTACATTTATGAATTACTGAATTACAGTAACTTCTGATTCCTTCTCTATCTTAGTTTTTCTTATCTAAAAATCATGCTTACTACATATTAATTATAAAATATTATAATATATAATAATAATATTATAATAAAATAATATCCTGATGAAAGTCTTTGATAGACTGAAACGTTGATGTAATGTGACTGTATTCATAATAAATATTTGAACTTGGCTAAAAAGTCCAGTGAGAGTTCTCCTTTGTGACCACGATTAATTATAAAATAATGATACAAAATGGTTTAACAATGATGGATTCAGCTATGTTCAGTTATTCACATGTGATCATTATCAAAGTCAGTGGTATTCATCATCTGAACCTTGAAAGAATGTAGAGTTGTGTTGACCCCCCACTAGCAACGTGTAGCACCGAGGTTTGAATGCATAGATAGAGCCTTTGCAATCAGATAAGGCTTTTGCAATCGGAGCACTACCCAATGAGTTATATAAATATATTATTCTCAACCAGATCTCCATTCAGTCCCTCTGTATGGCATAGGGGTTGTAAAAGGTTCTCCCTTCTGTAATGTAGATAAGCCTATATGGCTCATAAACTACAGTGCTATTGAATGTCAGCTAGGGAGGAAAAATAATATAGATTACCATTATATAGCTATATGCACAGGCTACATTAGTGTGGGTGACCTTGTATACATTTCATTCCACATCTTCTGTATGTACTAAAACATTTGTTTAGAGCTGTACACTAATGATGCAAATCAATAGGACTGGAGGGTATTTAGATATCATAGTTAAACTTATATTAAATTATTGAATTTGTATTTACCTTCAAAGGTATCCTATTTGCAAAGTTACTGTTGTATCATAAAATTATGGGCTTGCCTCTCCTCCCAGGTTTACGATATACAGTACGTTATATGCTGTATGTATTTTTTCTGCTTTAAAATAATTTTATAGTGAAACAGTAATTAAATATAACAAATACACTTGTTTTGTGTTTTTTTAGAAAAAAAATAACAGTAACTGAAAGATTACTAAATTGATCACAAATTGGAAGGCAGGGCCTGAAGTTGTGGGAGGGGCTATATCCCTTTAAAAGGGACTCCCCCTCCTACCTCATTCACCTTCTGGTCCAGATGCTCGTTTGGATTGCAGGTTCCCAGCGTGGTTCCAGTTTCTCCTGACAGCTGCATTTTCAAAGTTTTCCTACTAAACAGTGAGTTGGCAGACTGGTATCATTGTACCAGTCTGCAGCCTACACATAGCCTGACCCACCGAGGTCCACGGCTACAGTATTGTGGGGGACAGAAACCCCCTCTTCAGGGCTGATTCGGCTTGATTCCTGCCGGGGGATCAGGCCTTATGCAGACCAGCCCTCCCCCTCCCCCCTGCCGCTGCTCACGGCACAGCAGCCGGTTAATTCATTTAGTGAGAGCTAACCCCCTCTGACTACACAGCAGCTGGTTGAAGTGTAAATGTGTGACCCAGCTCCTAACCTCCTCCCCCACCCCTCACTACACAGCAGCCAGATCAATGTTTTGTAGGTCCCAGCTCCTAACCCCCTTTTCCCTCTCTCTCCGAGAGCGGGGAACCCCCCCCAGGCTCGTGGCAGGTGACGGTAATACTCTTAAGACCCCCCACGGACCTAATTCACGGGGGTCTGCCTATTCTGCCATAATAGCCGCATGAGTGGGGAAACCAACCCACCCACTCCCCACCCCAACCTACAAGTGCCCGGTCTCATAAAAAACTATTGGAAAAAAAAACGAAAAAAAAAAAACGTCAGTTTTAAAATTAAATAGGTTGCTAACTTTGCCTTGATGCCCTTTGTTAGGGAATCAGCAGCTTACAAATCTCTCCTCCCCCCCCCTCCCCAGTCTTACTTACCTACAGACGGGGGTTCACTCACACGGGCAGAGCTCCGTTCCCAGCCCTTCACAGCCTCAGCCAGAAAGCAAGTCAGAATTACAGCAATGCTGACGGCAATACAAGTTGTAACCACTAGAGGTTGCCCTATAAATAGTAATGTTATCTGGTATATTTCAAATTCTGTGATGTGTGTTAACAATGGCAATATTAAAAATGGTAAGATTTATATATTGCGCTAGGAATGATAAAGTATTCATTTAATTCATGCACAACCGGTTACGTATATATTTGTGGAAACAACTGTTTAAAGCATATAAGTCAGATATAAGCTGCTCTCGGGCACTAAATTGTGATGTAATTATGTGACTGATCTACCTAATATGTGGATCTATGTGACTCAAGAATATATACCATATACTCACACCACGGTTTCAATTAAATCTTCAGAATTACTTGAGTGGTTATAGACAAATTGCAAGTTCAAGAATATTTTCCCTTTATTTGGTGACCTGGTATACTGATTCCCCTGGCACGGTCAGAGACCGAGACAAAGACAAGTATTATATTACTTCCTTGGTATGTACAACATATGGGCGACGTATGTCCCATTAATCAGACATATGACACTCAGTGCATATGCTCACAAATGTATGCCGAGTGCACTTTATGCCAAGCAGATATTTGGGGCACTGCCATAATGGTTCTACATGTGTTTACAGTCTCAAGAACCAAACTAAGACGGACTTGCCTTCAGAACCTACTTACACGCAACCTACAACCATAGCACAGGGTTTAGGCCATCTTCACTAACAGTAATCAAACTACTACAGGACTGCCAGGCAAACGTTGGGCACTCAGGTAAGTTATATACAGACACAAAGATAAAGCACCGCGCTTACAGCAGCAGTGGCTTAGTATCCAACAGCTTAAAATACATAGTAAAAACAAAGAAAAACGTTACCTGCGCTCTGGCCTAGATCCCCATGTGCATTTGAACAAAAAAGGAGGCTCTTTAGTTCTATTCTAAATGGCCATTTGAATATGTAAGCTCACCAGCCACGTCAAGGGTTTATAAAATACCCCTTCCTGTCTTATTGGAGACTCTTGGCTGATATCAGCGTATCTAATGGCTAGTGTAGGAACTCACCTATTGAGGCTTGCGTTGACGTGGCTGGTGAGCTTTGTTTTTACTATGTATTTTAAGCTGTTGGATACTAAGTCACTGCTGCTGTAAGCGCGGTGCTTTATCTTTGTTTGTATATGAATTTTGTATCACTCAGCTATGTTACATTGCTGCCAGCCTTCCCACGTTTGTCTTATTAAGACTTTATAAGTATGTAGGGGCAGCACCCCTTCCTGTCTCATCAGAGAAATTTGCCTTTTAGCTGATACCAGCAAGGTGATTTGTATGTTATAGCCCTATTTAGGGTAAAGTATGTAGGGGTTTATAAAACACCCTTTCATGTCTCATTAGAGACGTCTATACTTTGTCTGATACCAGCAAAGTTTATTGAATGTGTAGAAGCCCTATAAAGGGTGAAATGTTAAAGGGTTTATAAAATACCCCTTTCTGTTTCACTTTGTCTGATATCAGCAAAGTTTATTGTATGTGCAGAAGCCCTATAAAGGGTTAAATGTTAAAGGGTTTATAAAATACCCCTTCCTGTCTCATTGGAGACTCATGGCTGATATCGGCATATCTAATGGCTAGTGTAGGAACTCACCTATTGAGGCTTGCCTTGACGTGGCTGGTGAGCTTACATATTCAAATGGCCATTTAGAATAGAACTAAAGAGCCTCCTTTTTTTGTTCAAATGCACATGGGGATCTAGGCCAGAGCGCAGGTAACGTTTTTCTTTGTTTTTACTATGTATTTTAAGCTGTTGGATACTAAGCCACTGCTGCTGTAAGCGCGGTGCTTTATCTTTGTGTCTGTATATGAATTTTGTATCACTCAGCTATGTTACATTGCTGCCAGCCTTCCCACGTTTGTCTTATTAAGACTTTATAAGTATGTAGGGGCAGCACCCCTTCCTGTCTCATTAGAGAAATTTGCCTTTTAGCTGATACCAGCAAGGTGATTTGTATGTTATAGCCCTATTTAGGGTAAAGTATGTAGGGGTTTATAAAACACCCTTTCATGTCTCATTAGAGACGTTTATACTCTGTCTGATACCAGCAAAGTTTATTGAATGTGTAGAAGCCCTATAAAGGGTTAAATGTTAAAGGGTTTATAAAACACCCCTTTCTGTCTCACTTTGTCTGATATCAGCAAAGTGTATTGTATGTGCAGAAACCCTATAAAGGGTTAAATGTTAAAGGGTTTATAAAATACCCCTTCCTGTCTTATTGGAGACTCTTGGCTGATATCAGCGTATCTAATGGCTAGTGTAGGAACTCACCTATTGAGGCTTGCCTTGACGTGGCTGGTGAGCTTACATATTCAAATGGTCATTTAGAATAGAACTAAAGAGCCTCCATTTTTGTTCAAATGCACATGGGGATCTAGGCCAGAGCGCAGGTAACGTTTTTCTTTGTTTTTACTCAGGTAAGTTATGTCGGTTGCAGCAACCAGTATAAGAAACATCAACATGCCCACTTAAGTAATTCTCCTCCCAGGCACCTTCTGCCATAGGGTTAGAGGTCCCGCGAGGCCAACTTCCATCCTCGATGTAAGAGGTATCAAACCCCCATGGGCCAAATCATAGCTAGACGCCTCGCATGTTGCATAGCTAGGGCATCATCCGTCATAACCCTCAATTAACGATGAAATCTCCACTGGTAAAACATGTACAACAGATCAACCCCACGCGCCAACCATAGTTAAATCCTACTAGCCACTTGGCATTTAATAGGGACTCAACTGCCACAAGTTTAATGAATTATTTCGCCACTTTGGCACTAGTTAAACATTTTACACTCTCCATAATGACACTCACGATTACATACGTATATATTTCAGTATGTCCCAAGTTCATGAAGAAGGAGATGAACTATCAATGCCTAGTACACCGACCAGGACTGCCACCCCCACACGCAAAGGGGACATCGGCAGCCCGTCATCTATTAGA